CGGCTGGTGTAAGGAGACTTTCAAGGCGAGAATACGAGGTTTTAACAGTCGTTATGATTTTTGCGTGGGTGCTTTAAATATTAACTTCTCGAGCAGAATTTATTGCGTTGCCCTTCCCAAGTTCAGGGGGACCTCTCTCCAGGAACCGAGCGCGCCTTTCCTTTGCCGGTTCGCGCCTCTTCTCTGGAGGTGCGAGGCCAAACTTAGCAAAGGCGAGTTGCCTTTGCCGGTTGTCGTGCGCAGGGACACCCGGACAGCACGGAGGCAGCAATAGCTGCGAGCAGGTAAGTCTGCTCCCACCGGCTCGCCCCTCCTTCCCTCCTTGGTTCCCTGTGCTAGGCGCCCGGGGTTCTTGCGCCGCGCGGGGCTCCGAGCCCCAGGGAAAGTGAGCCCTAGTGTGCCGGGATCTGGCAACGGTGCCTGGGTGTCCTCCGCTCCTTTCGGGACTTCCTGGAGCCCGAAGGCCAGGACAGACCAGGTGGAGAGCCCGGCGCTTCAACACGCTGCAGCGCTCTCTGCCTTGCCCTCTGCTCTGTACTGCGGCGCCTGAGGCTTGAAAGGAAACCCTTAGGGCTCACCCCCGCCCCCAAGGGCCACGTGTCAACCCAGGCATAGCCTGAAGTGCGGCACCGAGACCCCAAACTTTAGTTTCTTTCCTTTAGGGATTAATGTTGTGATTGGCTCGGGGTTCCGCCTTATCAATCTACTTTCGTGTCAGTTTACTAGACAAAATCTAAAGAGGATTCCTGCCGCTCCTTCTCCGAAGGTCCATCGCGGCCCAGTATGAGGGCCTTGGACGCTGGAGATCTTGATAATGTCAATTTTTTTTTTTTTGCCTTCCGCCAGCGGCCTGCACCTGGTCGGCGGGGTCAGTCTTAACCCCCAGGTTTCCGAGTGCTGGGTGATTTAAAGAGACGGATGTGCTGGTACTTGCAAAGCCAAACTTATTGCAGCAACTTTGAGGAACCCAAGTTGCGCCCCAGCGTTTCCGTCCTGGATGTTTCACCTCCCTCGGTGGCTCTACCCTGAGGATTCAAGCTTTGGGACTTAAATTACCCCCTCTTCTCTCTGCCCTAACTCTGCAGGCATTTAGGACAGCTCATTCGATTTTGACCTCTTGAGGCTTTTGAGAGATTTTTTGCCCCCTGTTCCAGGGCCAGTGAGAGGCTCTGGAACAGAGCGTGGGGCCAGGTCATACTCATTCACAAAAACAAAATTAAACAAAAACAAAATCAAAACCCAGAAAAGATTTGACCCTTCTCTAGGATAGAAACACGGGTCTGGGTTTGCCTGTTGGGCCTCTGAGGTCAAGGGGCACTCCTGGGAGTTCTGGGAGCCAGGTCTGAAGGAGCTGGCAGGAAAAGTGCCAGGCTTTCTTTTCACTGGACTCTAGGTTCTGGCCTCTCGAGGCAGGTTTTCCAGTCCTAAAAGTCTCTGTGGGTGAAAGGGACACAAGATTGCTGGTTAGGGACTAGCTCTCCTCTCAGCCAACAGTCATCAAATCATTTTAACTTGCAGTCTTCAAGCTTCCAATCCTCAAGCATCATCTTTCCTATTGGGGTAGAAGCACAGGGCTGTTCCTTCTGCCCCACTAATCCAAGATGCTCATCCTCACCCTTACTTCTATCCTTTTCCTTCTCTTGTCTGGAGTTCATATGAAACCAAACATGGAGTATACTTTAAGAAGCCAATATATGACTAACAGACATCTCAGCTTGTTCCATATTCTGTGCTTGCTTACTCTCTCCATTTTCTTCAAAGTTAGTGGAACAAAGATGAGGCTTTCTCCCCTGTATCTTTTATCACTTAATCTGTGGGAGGTCTTCCTTGAATTGGCAACTTTAGATTGCCATTAATTTTCTGATTTTTCTAGCCATAATTCCTGACTCCTTTCTCCTGGTCCATATCTTCTTTCACAGATTCCCTGTTAATGAAATGCCTCAACGTGGCCATCTCATATCAGTTTCTACATAGCAAGGACCTCACCTCCACAGACCTCTGCAGGTTTATGCTGATCATGTCAGAATCTCTCTCCTAACCTTTAATCTTGATGTAATTTGGACTCTCCACTGACCTTAGTTTCTCAAATCTATTTCTTTGGGCCTGGTTTATGGCAGGCTAATCTCACCTCGTGCACGTTGGCCACTAGTTAGCTCTGTGTCTGCTATTGTCAAAGCTAGTGTTCTCATCTGACTCTTTTACTCTGCATCTCTATCTACTACCTGACATCACGATTATTCTCTCCCCTCCCAGTCCCCCAGGTTTTTTGCACTGAGATAAAGTTCCGGGTCTCTGATCCTTTAGGCCACTCTATACCCTTCAAATCTTTTATCTACCCTACACATGCATCAAAGAGAATTTTTAATTTGTGTAGTTTTTTTTGGGGGGGGGGTTAAACATAGTTTTCTATATCTGACTTACATGTTTTTGCAAAATGCTATCCTGGGTGACTGAAACTCTTTTCATCTTCTACAACTTCTCAGCCACCCATCTTGAAATTGTTTCTCCAAATCTTTTCCTCTACAAAGTTGAGGTAATACACATATATCACCCACCCAATTCTGTGTAACACAAACTTATCCATATAATAAATGTAGAACTATTTAATTTGTTGTTGTAAAGGTATAATCATTTTTTCTTTGGTAGTTTGTACATATCTTGTTATTCATAATAATTTTAACCCATAAACTCCATAATCTACATGGCCTCCAGAATATTGCCACCTACATATGTTAAGATGTATATCATCTTAATAACTCCTGTATCAGTTTCTTTTTCTTTTTTCTTTCAGTTACTCCTCCTCCATCTTTTAAAATAAGTTCCTCTTCCCCTATTTACTGAGATCCTATTAACCCGTGTGTTTTCATGATCTGTTTCCTGCATCTCTTTCTTTACTCTCTTTACTTCTCTTTTTCATTTTTCTTCATCCTTCTTATTGTTCACCCTAACATTCACCCTTCTTTCCTTCTTCTTGGTCTGCTTCAGCCCCTGTCCTTCCCCTTCTCTGTACCTGCCATGACTCACTTCTGTGGTCCAGTTCTGTATCTCAGTACTTAACATTCAGCCCATTCATCCTCTGTCACATAACTTTTTCAACGCACAGACTACCATCCCTACATTTCCTCTCCCACTTTCTTTCCTCCTTTTCTCCAGTTCGCTCCTTTCTTTCTCCCCAGTTGTCTACCTTTTCCCCACTTCGGTTTGCCTTTTTCTAGACTCCTCCATCCAACAGCCCCAGCACTCCTTGGGTCCTTTATTCCTCAGCCTATTTCTCTCCACCTAATACTTGTCACCATTCCCCTCTGACCTCAACTCTCCCTTTTCTTTGTCGTCTTCCATTTCTCTCCTACTAGTCGCTTCACTCTCTCTTCTCAGGCGCTTTCTCCAATTCCAACCTCCGCTCTTGCCGGTCTCTGCCCTCTCTCTCTCCGGCTCTCTCTCCTTTGCCTCCCGCTCTCCCCTCCTTCTTCTTCCCCCGGCCCTCCCCCCTCCCTCCCAGCTTCCCTGCCTGGCTCGCTGCCTCCCTCGCCTCTTGTCTCATCTTGCCTGTGTTGTCTGGGAGGGGAGCCCTGCCTCCTCTCCCTCGCTCAGATCAATGCCCTGGCCACTCACTTTCTGATGTTGCACGACGGGAAATGCTTTGAATACTTACGACATGGCCGCTCACACTGATTGCCAAGATTGACAGCACTAACCATCGCCTTCACTTGTTTCAAGGGGGAAGCCCCTAGTCACCCCGCTCTGCGCGCACCTCCCGGCACCCCGGCGGCAAACTTCTGCCGGTCAGTGTTCCCCCCGCCCGGGGCGGGACACCCCCGCCGACTTGAGTTAACGGGCTGCGCCGGCCGCGGCGCTGGGGGGCTTTGCTCTCTTGCTCCCCGGGCTGTGCTAATTGACCCAGCAACGACTCCCCTTCCTTAATTTTTTTAATTTGTATCTTTCCCTTTTTTCTTTAATGCCATTTACTCCCGCGGCGCAGCGCACAAGGAACCCTCCCGTGCGGTACCATCCTGGAGCCCGCCCAGGTAACCGGGACGGAGCGAGCGATCTAGAGAGCGAGGGAGGCAGAGCGAGAGCGCGCGGCCCATTTGTGAGCTACCTGTTGGGGAGCAGGAGAGGGCAGGGGCAGGAACCCCTGGCCCGGCCGCCGGCTCCCAGCGCCTTCCGCTCCTGCCCTTCCGGACAGCTTCAGGGTTAGTTTCATCGAGCCGGGACTGAGGGATTGGGGTAGTACAAGAACTGAGCGCGCGGAGCCCGGCGAGGGCGCGGGTTGCCGGGAGCCACGGCTGCCCAGCCGGGGCGGGTTTCCGTACTTGGCTGGGGAGGGGAGAGGGGGGAGGAGGAGCGGGAGGAGGGCGCTGAGTGGGGCCGACGCAGAAAGTGGGGGGGGGGGAGAGTAGCGACTGAGAAAGGGGCCCGAGCGTCAGCCGCTCGCTGGTGGACGCGCGTATCCCCAGGATGCGTCCCCCTCTCGGAGAGTTGTGCCTTGTTCCGGAGGCGGTGACAGATCTGCGTGGCGGGTTTCTGGTTTTCTTGCCACCCCCCTGTCCCCAAAATCCACTCGGAGAAAACACATGTTGTAGCCGTAGATAACTGTGCGTGGGACACTAAGGCAAAAAAGGCAGGAGAGAAAGACAACGCAACCTTTGACAACAGAAAGCTGTTATCGCCATCCTAAGTATTCGTCCGGAAATCTGTCCGCCCTCTCAGCCCACCTTATTCCTCCTCCTCCGTCTCCCCGTATAGATATTCTAATCTATGTAACTGGGAATGATATGAAAAAGAAGTCAGGTGGCTTAGAGAATGAATTCTCAAGTCTCCGTGAAGTTTGAGGTAGGTATTTCATTGAAGTTTGAGCCAAGTGTGTGATGGAGGAAGCTCGTATGCCTGCGTGTGTAGTGTTCTCTCTCTCGCGCGCTCTCTCTCTCTCTCTCTCCCTCTCTCTCTCTCTCTCTCTCTCTCTCTCTCTCTCTCTCTCTCTCTC